CAGCAGCCAGCGGTCTCTGATGGAGAGAGGCTTTCTTATGGGCTGAGCTGGATGCTGGGCACTCCAGAGCCACAGGAGGGACCACCTGCTCTTACGGAGAGCAGGGGATGGAGAGACAGGCAGTAGCTGTGAACAGGTATTATGAAAATAAATGTGCACCTTCAAATCTTAAGTGCCCTGAAGAATGTCAAGATGGGATTAGGTGGGGAATGACATGGGGTGCAGGAAGGCCAGCCACACTGTATGGGAAAAGGAGAAAGTGACATCTTGGTTGAGACCCAAATGACAGGGAGAAGCCAAGTGAAGGTCACAGAGGCCGATGAAACAGAATTCAGGCAGACCTGAGCCCAGCAGGCCCTGGAGTCTCGTGCTTGCCAGGGCTGGTGCTCAGAATGGGATCAGGCCGTCAGATTCGTGGGTTCTAGGGTGTGCTGAGGCCGGGTCACCCTACATGGAGGAGGCTGAGTTGGTGGGGGGCCTGATGAAAGTGAGGGAAAGAGGCTTAAAGGAGGCCTAAAGAACCTATTAGCTAACTGCAGTATTTGGACCCAATTTGGATCCTGGATTGAATGAACTATAATTAAAAAGAAACTAAGATATGGGAACTAAGCTGCACTGAGATGTACTGCTTTAATTGTGACGATACTATTGTGCTTATGTTTAGGTTATGGGTTGAACAGTGTCCTCCAATGTTCATATATTGAAGTCTCAACCCTAGTACCTCACTTAGACTGTCATTGTACTTGGAGCACGGCTTTTAAAGATGTAATTAAGTTAAAATGGAGGGGTCAAGGTGAACTCCCATCCAGGGTTGTTGGGTCCTTTAAGGACTGATTAGGTGGCAGAGACACAGGACAGGACCACACTCTGAAGAAACCGTAACACCACGGCCATCTACGAGCCAAGGGGAGAGGTCTGAAAAGAACCCACGCTGGCTAACATCTTCATCTCAGACTCCTAACTCCCTAAATGTGAGAAAATAACATTTCTGTTGTATAAGCCACCCAGAATGTGGCACTTCGTTTTGTCTCAAACAAATTAAAGCAGTTTACAAGGAGTCTGAATATCACAGCAATACACACAAATAGTTTCAGATGAGATGATCGGCTGATTGGGACTTGCTTTAAAATAATCCTTGAGAGGGGACAACAAAAAGGGCTGTTTACAGAAGAAGTGAGATGGGCTATAAGCTAAATGACATGGCTAGAAGAAATCACTCCTCTCTTCCAGGTCAGCTGTCTTTCTGGAAAAATACTGCACTTAGGAATTTACTAACTATAGGAATTTACTTCTAAAATTCCAAGGAAACAAAATGTGACAACAAAAACAAAAACAAAAAAGAACATAGAGAAATTACTTTTTCAAATTTGGGGCTAAAGCTTTTCCTACATGAACCTACCTCTTCCCCATAGATTGTGTGTGTGTGTGTGTGTGTGTGTGTGTGTGTGTGTGTGTGGCCAGCTCAGCCCACCAGGGGGCGGGGCTGGCTGGCATGTGGTGCTGGGGGATTGAACCGCGGTCCCTGTGCTTTGCTAAGCTTGTTCTTTGTTCTAAGTAGGTGTTTTAGACCACTGAGCCATCTCACCAGTCCCTCCCCATAGATTTCTTTCATGCTCAGATTTAACACACTGGTCCAAATGCCTGATGCTATTACGATTGTTGTTGTTATTTATTCTGGTGGTATTGGGGATTGAAGCTGGGGCCTTTGCAGTAAGCTGTATGTACCTCCAGCCCTTTTAAATTTTAGTTTTGAAGGGCCAGTCAAATAGCTCAGCAGATTAAAGGGCTTGCAAACAGGCGCAGGGGCTGGGTGTTCAAGCCTGAGACCTGCCGTGCCAGCCCTACCCCCGGGGCACACTGAGATGGCAATTGAGACTGGGTGTGGTGGTGTGCGCCTGTAATCTCAGCTCTTGGGAGGCTGTAAATAGGCAGATCACTGAGTCTGATTTAGTAGTGAGACCCTGAACACCCTGTAGACCCTTCCCTAAAATACAAAAAAAAAATTTTTTTTTTTTTTTTTTAGTTTTGAGAGAGTCTCGCTAATCATTAAGATGGCTAGGCCAGGCTTGAAGTTGTCATCCTCCTGCCTCAGCCTCCCAGAGTACTGGGAATACAGGCAGGCAGTGCCACGCTTGGCTTACACCATGCATGTTCTTGATGGGAATGGAGCGCGCTACCTTTCTGCTTGGCTTGTCCTCCCCAGAGCCCAGTGTCCTGGCCAGGAGCGCCCAGTCTTTGTGATCTGGTAAGTCTGCCAGCTCACCAGCGCGGATGAGGCGCGACTCCGCACTGGCCCTGGTTGTGCACTCATTCCACTGCTTTGGAGCTGATCACCGACAGGCCTGTCTCCCCTTGCGCAGCTCATCATCTGGGTTACATGGAGCACTGCTAACCCCGCCCCGACGTTAACAGCCTCCAGATATGTAAGAACAAACCTAATATTCTACGTCCACTGCCCACCAAGACCTTCGTAACACACACTTAATTACTGCAGCTGAAGAACTGGGGACTTGAGCAACGTGCTCCGGGCCACATGGCCAGTCGCGGGCAGGGCTGGGACCTGGTGCAGAGCTGCTCTCTTGGCGGGTGCCCTTTCCAACAATGCACACATACAGAGCTCGCACTCCCTGCTCCTCCTGCTTCCAGATCCCTGGATTTGGCATGCCTTCCACTGGCCTCCTGTACTACTACCCATAGCACCCCAGGGGCCGTGTGGCCCGGACCCCTCAGGCACAGCTTTGCCACCAGCTCTGAGAGGGCCCTGGCGGCCAGGGCAGCTGGACGAGGGCCCCATCTGAGCTCTTCGACGTGGCTGGTGTGATGTCCTTGCCCAAACATGGTCTCTTCCTGAGCTTTTCAGCAGAAATGACTTTCACCTGGCCACTGTGAGGTTAAAGAGATTATGCAGACGTGGGCACCGAGGCTGGCACATATCAGTGCCCTTACTGGCATTTCTTATCTTGTGCTGTTGTTACTCTTGCTGCTAAATACCACTCCCAAGCCTCTGTGTGGCCCTGTGGCCAGGCCACACCTTCCTGTCCTATTTGTAAAGATGGAGCTTTACCTCCACCTTCAAGACCTTATGCTTAGGTCCCCCTGTTTTCATTGTGTTTGACTTTAACTATTTCTGCCCTTTGGATCCAGTTCTTCCTCCCACATCCTCATCTGTGTCATCCGTGAGCTAGACAGTCACCTCTGTCTTTGAATCGCAGACCAAACTGTGAATGAAGCCAGTGTAAATGGTGTCTGTAGGCGTGGGAGCGAGCCCAGAGGAGAGAATGCCTTGGAGTACCCAGTCCTGTGCCTGGCATGAAGTGGCTGTGTGTCTTCAATCTTCCCTACCCACGACCTTCCTGTGCCTGCCCTGCAGGACGTGGCACCCTTGTGAACTACCAGTGACAGAGTCAACTGGAATGACCTTCTAGGAGACAACCTGACAATGTGTACAAACATATGAAAACAAGTCACCTCAGGAAATTTACTCCAAAGAACTCACTAAAGAGAAAAAAAAAATTCTTTTTTTGATATAGAGTCTCGCTACACAGTTCAGACTCATAGTGACCCTCCTGTCTCAGCCTCTCTAATGCTGGGATTACAGGCATGGGCACCCATTCCAATTTGGGAGCCAGCACGGCATGCCTGGGGTTCTGGGGCCCACATGGCATGTGGTACTGGGGATCAGACTTGGGACCCTGTGCTTGCCAGGCAGGTGCTAATGCTGCCAAGCTATCACTCCAGCCTGAAAAATATTCTAAGTCATTGTTTAAAATGCTGGAAAACTTAAAAAAAAAAAAACAAAAAAAACCTATACGTCTTACAAAAAGGAATGGTTATATAAATTATAACAGAGTAATAATAGTAATGTGGATGTCAATATGATTAAATATAATGACTTTGCATTTTATGTTGATGACTATAAAATTATTTAAATGCCATAGATAGATAGTATGACTGCAACTAAAAAAAAAACTACATATACAAACATAAAGACAGAACAGGAAGATAAAGAAGCAGAAAATTATAGTTATGGTAAGATTATAGATGTAATTTTTGGTTGTTTCCCATTAAAACATAATTTATTTGGTCATAAACATCCCATATGTTTGTGCACAGATACATAATTCTGTGCATTTATTTGTTACATGTGCATATATAATGTGAAAGGAGAGCTGCATAAGAATCAAAGATGAACAGTCCGGAAGCCAGAGTCTGCGCTAACAGAGGCCTCGCCCTGAAGTTAGAGGCATTTGCCTAAGCCTGCGAGCCAATTCCTGTCCCCCAGGAGCCTCAAGGTCCAGGGAGCTGCTGCTGATCCACTGACACTCCATGCCACCTCACACTCTAGGCACAGGAGTCCTCAGGAGTGTGGATGGAACAGCAGGGAGGGCCTACGTTCTGCCACCCAAGCCACCCGGCTCCCAGCCGGCTCTGGAACCTACTAGCTAAGGGCTCCTGGGGAGCTCTTTCTCTGTGAGCTGTAGCAACTGCCTCTCTCAGCAGGGTGGGTGTGCTGGCCCCACTCCAGAGTGGTTGTAAGGCGTGGCATGGGACATGCCTAGTATTGGTATTAAATGTGTGTCTCACCATCTCTTGTGGAGAGGCATAAATTCTAAGTTCAAAAAAGAAACAAGGGCTGGCAAGATAGCTCAGCAGGCTAAGCACCAGCTTTGGCAAGTGCAAGGACCAGGGATTGATCCTGGGTCCTGCATGCTGCACCAGCCTCACCCCCGGGGGGAGGAATGAGCCAGGGACCAAGTCCAGGTGTGGTGGCACATGCCTATAATCCTAGTGCCGGGGAGGCTGAAAACAGGTGGATCACTACGAGTCCAATCTGCATAGTGAGACCCTATACTAAATACGTCAAAATAAAAAAAAAAAAAAGACCCTATACTAAATACGTCAAAATAAAAAAAAAAATAAAGAAAACAGAAACGAAGTAGCAACATATTAAAGCAAGGAGAGAAAGGGGAGGCCTCTGCGTGGATGTGGCCCGTGTTTACCATAGGTGAACATGCGTGGCGAGGTCAGCTCAATGTTGGGCAGGGCGCCCAGGTGGTTCAGCACAGCACACCGGTAGCCATTCTTCTGCGCGTAGTCAACGAAGGTGCGGATGTACTGCTTCTCACTGTGGTTGGCAATTCCAGGGCAGATGACCATGGTGACATCATCTACAGGGTGGAGAAAGAGATCCTCACGTAACCAACCATTATCATATGATGAATACACAGAATCATACTTCACTGGCTTTTAGACACCTGGAGAAGGGAACTTATGTATTCATTTTTGAGGTTTTGTTTTGTTTAAGAAAGGTCTTGCTATATAGTTCAGGCTGATCTTGAACTCACTAGGTAGCCCAGGCAGGCCTTGAAAACATGGTGATCCTCCTGCCTCAGCCTCCTGAGTGCTGCACCACCCCGTCTGGCTAGGAGAAGGGAACTTAATGCACACCCTTTCATTCAATTCGCTGGAAAAGATGTCGTTCCCTCATTCCCTTTCAGCTGGAGCTGTCTATTTTAGGCTTCCCTAATTCTTTATGGGGAAGGGTTTATTTTTAAAACTTCTAATCCATCATAGGCTTATACTTTTGAAAACTGTGTTCTGTATTAATTATTAGAAAATTAATTAGAAAAAATTAGAAACATGAAATAAAAAATAAACCCCAAATTTTACAATTAGATCCAACAGATATA